TTGGACACTTTGTCCTCCATTGGCATATGTCATTAGCCTTGGACTAGGTTATTGAGGTGAATACCCAACAAAGTGAATAGATTGTGATGATTAGTGTGCCAGATAGCTGAAGAAATTTGAAAAGATTAACTGGCTCCAGCCACCAGCAAAAGGGACTTGTCTCGTGGGGGGGGGGGGGGTGTCACTGTTTCTGGTGCAGAAAGCAAATCTTTCATTACTTTAAAAAAAACAGGATTATAAGTTCTTAACCTTCCTGTGAGTCCAACAGTGTATTACTGCAGACTACTTTACTACCATTTTGAGACCATGGCATGTAAACAGATGAGATAGAGCAAGGACTTGTTCCAAGCAAGATACTAATATGGTCACCTTCTCTGAAGTCAACTCTACAGTATTCTCCTGAGTGTCCAGCACTGCTGCCAGGAACATAATTATTGTAATGAGATTAGCTGGCCATCCCCAGTTGATGACCTGTCCAAATCTGATCAGAGCCTGAATCAGAAATTTTGCCAAATGAACTTGAACTAAAACTCTCGATCAGCTAAGCGGTGATACTCGCAGAAGCATGGGTATACATAAATGTGTATATATATACACACACATCTGATAGATCAAGAGACAACCTACAGCTGCATTGTCCACTGGCTTGACTGATTGACTGCAACCACACCATATAAAGCTTTGGATCTTAATCCTTCCTTCCTTCATGCCTAAGACTACTTTTCGACTAAGAACAATGGAGAATCCTTGATATCTTCGCTGGATAGATGGCTCACTGTTGAAACAAGATTTGGTAACATTTGCTTAAAGATTTGATTGCTCTAAAGAACCATGTTGGGAATAAAATGAGTTGGAGGAGAGGAAAGAAAATTCATGTGGCTTCCTTATTGCACAGGTGCCACAGATCCTGAACCTATTCTGCCGAAATGTGCAGAAATTCCTTCAATCCAACACCTGGGCAAGTTTGGGTGAAGAAGAACTTTGCTGCTCCTAGGGGACGAGAAGACTTAGATTTAGGCAAAGAAAGACTATTATGGGTTCTTTCATTCTCTTCTATAGCTCTTCTCAGGTCTACCCTGTCACCAAATCTTATTTTTTCTTCGTCTTTTGGCCTACCCCCTCTGGGCATTGGTCACTTAACATAAGGGATTTATCTCCATTCTAGATATCACTGAATCCAACTTAAACTGCAGTCAAGTCAATTTAGCAGAGGTATATACTGTCTGCAAATTAATCCATAGGGGTTGACTGATCACAACAGATTACTAGAGGAACAGCATATTGCATCAATAGTGGCTGTACTGCATCACTGGCCACTTTAAATTTCACTCAGGGATCAAACACCACACAGACTTCATTACTAGCCATGTTTTGCCTTCATCTTGTCTAAAATAGCCTAGGCTACTGAAGTGAGCTCGAACGCAGGCCACAAAACACTACCTAACGGTAGTTTAAACTGCCTTGCTTTCAGAATCTATTTTGCTGTTCCGAGGCCTCTGCAAAAGATATTGCTATATTGCTCGATCCACTGGCAGAATGGCACAACTGGTTAGTCTGATTAAGATTCGTTGGCCAACTGCCTGTGAAGGTGGGCTTTACAAAGAGGATATTGCCCTCTCTGCAAGCAGGTAGACATCTGGCCAGTCTAATGACTCCTTGACCAGCTGCTTCAGAAGCAGAGGTACCCTTTAAACAAACAGCTATTTGGTTAGCTTAGTACCTGGACGTGAGCGACTAGAGATCCACCCAGTCAGTTTAAACAGAGTCAAAGCATCTGCTTTCTTGCCTCCTTGTTCCCTGCTGCCTCTGATACGTAAACCTGGCATAGCAACGTCCCAAGAAAGTCAGCTACAACTAGCAGAGAATGACATCTGGCCAGTCTGATGAAGACTCCTTGGCCAATTGCTTTTGAGGTAGCTTTTAAACAAATGCAGCTGTTTTATTAGGCTTAGTATCTGACAATTAGTGACTATAGATCCTTGAGGTCAGTCTGATCAAAGTCAAAACATCTGTCTTCTTTGTCTCATTCACTGCTGCCTCTGACATGCAACTTGACATACAGTGCCTTGAAAAATTATTCATACCCCTTGAAATTTTCCACATTTTGTCATGTTACAACCGAAAAATTTATTTTACTGGGATTTTACGTAATAGACCAACACAAAAGTGGCACATAATTGTGCGATGGAAGGAAAATGATAAATTGTTTTTAAAATTTTTTTACAAATAAATATCTGAAAAGTGTGGTGTGCATTTGTATTTAGCCCCCTCGAATCAAAACTTTGTAGAACCACTTTTCGCTGCAATTACAATTCGCTGTCTTCTCCTCAGACATCAATCCCATGTGAGGAGAACCTAGGAACAGTTAGTTTTTAAACTTAACCTTTTCACTACTGTGCACCACACTGCCCCTAATAAAGAGTGCCCGTCAGTGCAGCCATCAGATTAACCCGTCAGTGCATCTGTCACCACAGCCGTCACCGCAGCCTAATTAGTGTACCTGTCACAGAGTCGACAATTGCCACCCATTAGCAGTTTACCCCTCATAAAGCCACAATTACCAGAGCCGCAATGTCCAAAAAATATTTTACTAGTGAGGAGGCACTCAAAATCCTCAGCATGTCAGATTAGAACAGCGGGGAGCTCTCACCATTCGATTCCAATTTGGAATACGAGCCAGTAGAAAGAAGTGGGTCAGTGACCAAATCGCAGGAGGAAGTAGTCCCTCCTAAAAGGATACGGCGCTCTGAAGAGCAGGCAACCACAAGCAGCGCCATACACCCCAACGGTCAATCAGCAGACACCAATGGAGCTAGACCCCAGGATGAAAGGCCCAGTACCAGCAGTGAAATATCCCACCAGACCCCAAGAATTAGGGCACAAACATATCTTCCTGACACTCTGGCAAACCCTTTATGGCTGCCTTCCAGCTTAGGATCAGCTTCAATCCCCCCTTTTACCACACAGCCAGGTGTGTAGACCCATACTGAATTTTTCTGAAACAGATTTTCCTTTTTTTTTTTCTTTAATTTGTTTTTCCCTGCCGATATTCGATACATTGTGGACCAGACAAACCTTTTTGCTCAGCAATATATTGATAACAATCCCAGTACATCCTGTGGCCGTTCTTTCCAATGGAGACATCTCACAGTGCAGGAGTTAAAATTGTTTTTGGGCCTTACGTTTAACATGGGGCTTACAAAAAAAAAAAAAATGAATTGCATGCCTACTGGTCCAACAACCCCATCCATCATATGGCCATTTATTCTGCTGTAATGTCCAGGTCACACGATGATCTGATCATGCGATTCCTGCATTTCAATGATAACTCACAGTGCACTCCCCGAGATCATCCCAACCATGACAAACTGTACATAATCCACCCCCTTATAAATTGCTAGGAGGTTTGCAGAACTTTATGTCCCTGAGCAACACATTTGTGTGGATGAATCCCTTGTCCACTTCCCTGGCCAGCTGGGACTCAAACAATACATTCCCAGTAAAAGGGCCAGGTATGGTCTGAAGCTGAACAAGCTCTGTGAAAGAGCTACAGGATAAGTGCATGCCTTCTGTGTGTACGAAGGCAAAGACTCCAAAGCTCCAACCCCGAGTGCCCCAACCTACATTGGCACAAGTGGCAAAATTGTCTGGGATCTGGCATTCCCACTGCTATTATACAAGTCTGCCCCTTTTCTGGCATCTTTACAGTGAGAAAAACCTTAGCCTGCGGTGCCACCCGAAAAACTGAAAAGGCTTGCCACAAAGTTTAGTAACCACAAGGCTACTAAGGGGGGAATCTGAAAGTCTGAGAAACAAGGAAGTGTTGGCCATGAAATGGAGGGATAAGAGATGTTTACGTTCTGTCCACTATCCACAATGACATCTCGGTGGAAATTCATGGAAGACGCAGTCCCATCCAAAAACCTGAACGTATCCATGATTATAATCGGTGCATGGGAGGGGGGGTTTAAATGATCAGATGCTACAGCCCTATTTGTCAACAAGAAAGTCCCTCTTCAGGTATAAAAAAGTTGCAATTAATTTTTTCCATTTGGCCATTTATAATGCGTTTGTCATCTATCAAAAGTCAACGGAAAGACCCACCACCTTCCTCAAATACATAGAAGAAATTACCACTGCCCTTATCTACGAGCAAGGATCACCCCTCAGAAAACATTCGCTGATTGTGTGAGCAGACTTCACGAGCAACATTTTCAAGAAAACATTCCACCCACAGAATCAGGAAGACGACGCCAAAAAAATGTCGGGTATGCAGAAGAGTTAGGAGACACACCAGTGTTCTTTGTCCCCATTGTCCCTCTCAACCGGGTCTATGTATTGGAGACTGCTTCCAAAGTTATCACGTCACTAAAATATTAGTTCCCCTCATTTTTAACAGCCTGCCATTTCCCAGTTTCTAAAATCTGTGCTGATTATTTGCCTGCTGCCTTGATTAACTCTATGCCTCTGCCTTCCACGTTAACTGACCCTGAGCTGTTTATCAATGATGCCTATGCCTGCCATCTAGATTGTTTCTAAACTGCTTTTCTGCCTTCCACCAGAACTGATCCTAGCCTGTTTACCAACAATGCTTTTGCCTGCTGTCTGGATTGCACCAAGGGTGTAGCAAGACTGTAGAATGAGGTCACTATGGAAAAAAAAAAAAAAAAAAAAAAAAAAAAAAACAACTTCATGGTTTGCCAGTGTCCAAATCTCCTGTACGCGGCAGTATAACAGGAGAACAATGCAAAACTGCATAACTCAGAACAATGCAAAAGAGCCATTTATGGAATAGCTTCCCAAGCCTAAGTTCAGCTGCACTGAAATCTACCCCTAAAGCACAAGTTGTAAATGGAACTTGTCAAAGTGTACAAGTATGCCTTGCGCTGACCAACTTCCACTACAAAGTCACCAGTTGCTTGTGGTCAGGTGTGAAGAGAGATAATGTCACCAAGCAACAATGCTACAAAAACAAAAACTGCATTGTAATTGCAACATACCTTGTTAACAGTAGTCTGCCATCCATCAAGAAAATCTGGGTAACTTTTCTCCTTGGCTTCTGTAATTAGGTATTTGCGGATATTCTGCAAATGATGCATATTCAGGAAAAAAAAAAAAAAAAAAAAAAATAGAGTAGGCTTCAATAAAGGAGTATAATGCACAAAACAAGTGAGCAACAAAATGTCACTGCAATACAAATTCTATGGATCAATTTACAGATATAGAAACCATAAATACATAAAGTATAGATTAAAACTCTCCAATGTAGACAGAACACAGCAAGGCAGTTTTTAAAGTGGAGCAGTCACTTTACCCAATTAGGTCAAAGTAGCCATTCTCTTTATACCCAACCTCCTCTGCTACAATTGCCTTCTCTGCTCTTTGTTAAAGCCTACACAAAGCCAAGCATCCCACACCACCACATGATGGTGCTCAGGTCTGGTAATTTTCGAATCAAGTGTCTTTAAAAAACATAGTGGAAGGAAGTATTGGGTATTTCCAAGAGCTTTGACTGGTAAACAGGGCAGTTTGGAAGCATAGGAGAAGGGAAATATTAACAGCAATGGAGATGGGAACAAAAACAGGCTACTCTGCTCTTAATGAAAACACTGACACATTTACAGTGTACAGTGCGGAAAGAACAATTTTTTTTTTATTGCTGTTTGTGTTGTCCTGGCCCTTGACTGATTGCCAAGACTTATGTTTCTAGCATCACAGGGATAGAGAGGGTGGAAATCCCCATTTGGGAGTAAAACAATTCCAATGAAAAACACCTGTTTGTAAAGAGTCATTTTCCAAAACTTTGCAAAAATTTTAACCTATATCAATTTCTATATCTTGCCAGTAATAAAAGAACCCCTTTACTTTAGCTGATGTTTAAACATACTATACACCAAGAGCCATTACTCTATATAATGAAATGATGCCCCTTACTGTATTTTCCTATACTCAAAAAGATACTCATGGTTATGAAATCAAAACATTAAAGGGTAAAGGATACAAACAAAAAAACGATGAACTCCAATTTATAATATGTACTTTACCTCTACACAGAATTTAAAATGTATGCCTTGGGAATCATAGAAAGAAATTAGCTTTTTGGGTATATTCACAGTAATGAGAAGACCAGTGAACTTCTAGGTGAATTGGAATTAACAACAAGATCTTTTTGAAAACATCAACCTGTTGGAAAACAGAAAAAGATATCTTTCAAAGCTCAAATTAAAGAATGGTCAAGGACCATATAATTTCATTACTACATTAAATCTTTACATAAAAAATGTAATGGGCAAGAGTAAGTTTTAAACGCTTGCCTTTTTAGTCCATCGTTTCACACCATTATAACCTTTGGTCATAAGTTGACGGTGAAAGAAACTGTTTAAGAAATGAACCTGTATGAAAGAATACAAGCAGCCATTATCAAGCATTAAAACATTGTGGTAAAGAGAACATATCAAAAGTGCTAAAAGTGTAAAAAAAAAAAAAAAAAAAAAAAAAAAAAATAAGTATATTGGTAAGACTAAAAGGCAGCTTAAGGTACGAATAGGTGAACACTTTAGTCCAATGACACTTAAGTCCAATGGCCCTGAAAGCAATTTAGCTCAACATTATGCCAAATGCCATGGAGGTAAATTAGAGGGTACTAAAGTAAAAGGTATTTATGCTCTAAACTTCCCTCAGAGGAGAGGTGACTTTGATAGAGAACTATTAAAACGTGAGAAATATTGGATTTATACACATGATACTCTATTCTCAAAAGGGTTAAATATTGAATGTGATCTCCAAGTATTTTTAGAAAAATAGTCAAGTGTGTAAAATTATTAATAGTGCCACCTTGTGGGAGGTTAGGTGGCAAACATTTGACCCTTTTTAACGATATACAGGGTAGGTAATTCTTCCCTCCCTCTCAGTGTGCCTAGGTATCCACTGTTTTTAATTGAGTAATGACCAGCTGTCTTGCTAAAGTAATTAGCTCTTTTCCCATTGAGAAGGATTGCCAGCAACCGATTTGCATATATGGGCAGTACTGAGCCCAGCATAAATAGCCGAGTAAGATACGTCCATCGGCGTAACGCGTTGACGTCATACGTCAGATACGGCACTTCCGGTTGCGCGCATTGGCACCATACACGCTGACCAAACAGGGAAGCGGCCATATTTGGGCACCACGAGCTGTGCAAGGCTGCACAGGCACCAAGGTGAGAACTGAGCCGTCAGTCACAGTCCCGGTGTGAGCGATAGTTCCCGGACCATGCCTGGTAATCCAGACGGAGGAAACTTCCAGAAAGTATCACCTATGGCTCGGATGGATGGGGACTATATGATTCACTATCAAGGTGCAAGGCACCAATTATATATTACAAGAGACAGAGGACCCAGCAAGCGTCACATTATCATCTGTAATAAGGTGGTTTATAGCCCGTATGTTGCGGTGAAGAAACCCCGTGAAAGCAGGGCCCTGCCATCTTTATCTCACTAAGGATATCTACAGTGATTCTTTCATGAATGACTGCATTTTCACATATGTGCATGTCTACTGTGAATCCATACATGTCCACCCCCTCACTCGTGCCTTACATAGAGGCTGCATAGGGGCTATATTGCCACTATTCCATTATCCTGTTATGACAGGAATATTCATACCCCCATTTATATCCTTTTTTTGGTGCCTGATATCAGCCATTACTGCATAGTGCTGTATAAGTATATACCTTATGGTACAATTTTTTGATACACTCCCTGATGGTTGTGTAACCAATGTGTTGGTGCTGCAAATGCACTAGACAGATATCTGTCACTGCATATGCAGCACATTTATATAAGACCGGTCTTGATGTTGCCTTTTTGTGATTTTAGGTCTTTGTGTATTATCTCATACTGAGGTGATGGTGAACCAGGGTATTTACCCTATTGTCTACAATTTTTGTATAATAAAGCATTTTTTTGGGAATTATTCTGTGTATCGCATTCTGTCCATGATGTACCCACTTTTTTGTGAATCTCTTTTTCACACCCCTCTTTTTTGTGTGTGTGTGAAAGCCTCATGTCTGCTGCCAGAGCACAGAAGTATAGCGAAAACAATGCACTCATTGAACACTGATAGTCAAGTGTAAATTGTAAACAGTCAGCAATCCAGAAGGTGGCATACACCTCTTGAGATTATTGCTTATATAAACACTGTCAATTAATGGAACACTTTACATATACAGTATCTCACAGAAGTGAATACACCCCTCACATTTTTGTAAATATTTTATTCTATCTTTTCATGTGACACTGAAGAAATGACACTTTGCTACAATGTAAAGTAGTGAGTGTCAAGCTTGTATAACAGTGTAAATTTGCTGTCCCCTCAAAATAACACAACACAACCATTAATGTCTAAACCGCTGGCAACAAAAGTGAGTACAGCCCTAAGTGAAAATGTCCAAACTGGGCCCAATTATCCATTTTCCCTCCCGGGTGTCATGCGACTTGTTAGTGTTACAAGGTCTCAGGTGTGAATGGAGAACAGGCATGTTAAATTTGGGGTTATCGCTCTCACACTGGTCACTGGAAGTTCAACATGGCACCTCATGGCAAAGAACTTAGAGGATCTGAAAAAAAGAATTGTTGCTCTACATAAAGATGGTCTAGGCTATAAAAAGATTGCCAAGACCCTGAAACTGAGCTGCAGCACGGTGGCCAAGACCATACAGCGGATTAACAGGACAAGTTCCACTCAGAACAGGCCTCGCCATGGTCGACCAAAAAAGTTGAGGGCACATGCTCAGCGTCATATCCAGAAGTTGTCTTTGGGAAATAGACGTATGAGTGCTGCCAGCATTGCTGCAGAGGTTGAAGGGGTGTGGGGGGGGGGGTCGTCCTGTCAGTGCTCAGACCATACGCCCCACACTGCATCAAATTGGTCTGTATGGCTGTCATCCCAGAAGGAAGCCTCTTTTAAAAGATGATAAACAAGAAAGCCCGAACTTTGCTGAAGACAAGTAGACTAAGGACATGGATTACTGGAACCATGTTCTGTGGTCTGATGAGACCAAGATAAACTTCTTTCGTTCAGATGGTGTCAGGAGTGTGTGGTGGCAACCAGGTGAGGAGTACAAAGACAAGGGTGTCTTGCTTACAGTCAAGTGGGAGTGTCATGTTCTGGGGCTGCATGAGTGCTGCCAGCACTGGGGAGCTACAGTTCATTGAGGGAACCATGAATGCCAGCATATGACATACTGAAACAGGAGCATGATCCCCTCCCTTCAGAGACTGGGCCGCAGGGCAGTATTCCAACATAACGACCCCAAACACACTACTAAGACGACCACTGCCTTGCTAAAGAAGCTGAGGGTAAAGGTGATGGACTGGCCAAGCACGTCTCTAGACCTAAACCCTATTGAGCATCTGTGGGGCATCCTCAAACGGAAGGTGGAGGAGCGCAAGGTCTCTAATATCCACCAGCTCTGTGATGTCATCATGGAGGAGTGGAAGAGGACCCCAGAGGCAACCTGTGAAGCTCTGGTAAACTCCATGCCCAAGAGGGTTAAGGCAGTGCTGGAAAATAATGGTGGCCACACAAAATATTGACACTTTGGGCCCAATTTGGACATTTTCACTTAGGGATGTACTCAGTCCTTGCCCTCAAGGAGCTTACAATCTAAGGTCCCCAACTCATTCTTTAACCAGGTGTACAATACTGGGTAATTGTTGCTCGAAGATGACTATGGATATAGACACTTTCTGAAGTGGCAGCACACATTTCTTTAATGACAGGTCCTCTTTGAAAGAACTATGGTAAAGAAGCCAGAACTTGCCAAGTTCCAGCCGTATGTTTTACTCATTCTAACAAAGTAATCAACGTCTGGATGATTAAGCCCAACTCCAGGAATTAGGCAAAAATCTACCCTTGCAGTGGGCCCCTCCCCCCAACCCTCCTCACACATTGGAAGAGCTAAATGCTCATTAGTCTCTTCAGCTCCTGCTATACCCATTACTCATCTTACTCTGGGCTCCACACTGTGGGAGGTCCATTGAAACCATCAGTTACAAAAGCAGGGCTATTAAATTTATATTGTATGTGCAGAAGTCAGGGCCAACCAAGGCCAGGAGCGCCTTAGAAGGGAGGCTTTGAGGGAAAGGCTGCACATCTAGCAGGTACCATGCTGGAGCAAAAGACAAAGTCGTATTGCACTTTATTTCTGCATGCCTAGTTGTGCAGTTAACTAACCCCTGCAATTCAGGAAGGCACTGTAAGGACAGATTTTGAATAATTATTTGGGTTTAGCCTTAAGGTGTGAAAGACACACATTGCCATTATCTGAGAAAAGGGGAAAAAAAAACCCCGCACTGTCCCAAAAAAAAAAAAAATAAAACACCCTTTGCTTTAAGCACACAAATTCTACTCATGTGCGATTAACAAGAAATACTGTGCTAGAACTTTAGCTTGCTTTTTAGAAAAAGGATTAATGGTAAGGCATACCTTGTCTGGAACAGCATCCATGATTAGCTCACCATACATATTGATAACCTGTAAGGGGGAGAAAGGAAAAAAAAATTAAAAAAAAGATTTAAACAAAAGCTTGACTGCTCAACACAAGAGACCTAATTGCCAATCTTCCTACCAATCAACAAAAGCCAGAAAAATCCATGCACCTGCGGTGCAGTTATACAACTACTCATTTTTTTTCCCCCAAGTCAGAAATCGGTCACTAATTTAAAAATAGATCAAAAATAGGCCACTTCACCACAAACAAACATTCTATAAAAACCTGAAAATAAATTCAAACACATCGTGCCTGATCATTGATCCAATTTTGTCCATCGAGGGTAGTGAGGTCATCCAGATCAAGCACATGTTTATTGTATAAGACGCGGAAACTGCATGCAGTAGTCTTGGAATGCTTGGCTCTGTATTTTGATATTTCTTTGTTGATGAAGGAAGCCCTTGGAAATAAAAATGTAAAGCCAAATTAATTTTTGTTTCCAATTTGGAGTTGACTGTAACTAAACAACCCCAAGAAACTAACAACTTTCTGTTAACTCCTTGTGTCATTCCAACATTTTAAGTTTCGCCTGCACTTGATTGGTTTATACCTGTTTATTGTGTGGGATACTCCACTTTGGGGAGTTTTGTTGAGGGGTGGGGGACTTGGTTCTTTTGTGGGGTTAAAAAAACTATTTTTTTCTTTTTTGTAAACCATGTTAACCCATCAAAAAATGATTTGATTAAAAAAAAAGAAAAAAAAAGTGCAACTCCAGATTTTTTTTTTCCTGTTTTTTGACAAGCATTTATTCTGACAGGTCCTGAGGATGTGCATTTCCCTTCCTGTCAACAATGTTGTGATTGGTACAGGAAGTAAAAAAGGTATACAGCAGTAAAATCCTGACAAATGTTATCAGAAGATGTATAAGACCTTAGAGCAGGAGTGTTCAACCTTTTGACAATCCTGGGCTACATTGCAAGAAAAGAAATGAACTTGGGGCACACATAAATACATTAACAATAAGGAGAGCTGATGAGAAAAAAGTTGAGCAGATCACAAGTTAACGATTACTGATATAGAATGTACCCGAGTAATAAAACTTTGTAATAAATTATAAAAGTAAAACAAGGTAACATTAAATAAGTGAAATATTTGACACGGTTTGTGATAAACTAAAGCATTAATATATTGTTAGGTGGATGGAGTAGCAATTCTCAAAGTGATCATCAGATATTTTGCCTCTAATTTTGCCCTTCAAGTGCTTCATTCTTGAAAATAGTTGCCCACCAAACCGATGACATGAATAAGGTGTGATTGTGAAGTGTGGGATACATTTCTTTGGGAATATAAAACTTATAAACATGCAGTAAAGAGGCAGTGTCAAATTTTTCTCCGGCCGCATGTGTTCACTTAGTAAATGCATTTTTACAAAAAAAAAAAAAAAAAAATTACCCTACAAAAAAAAAACAAAAAACTAATTTTACGTAATTCATATCAGTCTTGGGCCACAGCTTGGACACCATGGCCTAGAGGAAAGGAAAGTCTGTGCTGTTCACAGCAACCAGAATCTAGGTACATAACATTTTTATGTTTACTGATCTTTTTTTCTGCATGAGGAATATTGTTACATCCAACCAATCATAACAAAAAACACACAACACTAAAGGAATTGTGTCTTGACATATTATAAAATCCATTACAGATAAATGGTTTTAGAAATTGAGCTATATACCGTATAGTATTATGTGCAATAGAACCAAAAGCGTTGGAATGTCTGACAAATTCCCTTTTCAGGGAAAACAATATATTAAATCTACCACCAAAGCCATAATTTCAATATAGCAAACCTGTAGGAAAGGTCCTCGTTGAAGACTTCCTTTAATCGAGTCAGCACCTCTCTCTCAGACAATGGGATTAAACTACCATATTTCTTCATAGTCTCATTTAGCAGCCCTTGGGTAAGAAGAAAAAATATTGAAATGCCTACATATGTATATCCATACGGATTCATGAGAATAAAGATTCTCCTTGTATTTTACAGATTGATAAAAGAGGGAAAAAAAAAAAAAAAAAAAAAAAAAAAGCAACTCTTAAGCTGGGTATACACTAACAGAATTTCACTCAACAATTTTCTATTCAAGAGCTTTGAAATAAGGCTCAGTTTTCTAATTATTAGTGGGGTCAAAATCGATGTTCATTTTCTACTGCAGTAAAAATTCAAAGAAGCAAGATGAACATTTTTTTTTATCTTAAATTTATGAATTTCTAACAACGAATGCTGCTTTCGTTCAGTAAATTCTATTCATTCTAGAAGTGAGATCTTGAACTACTTTCGAACGACATTCAAATGTACTGAGAATTGTACAAATTTTCCAAGAATTTTGGTATAACTTTTTGTTAGAAATTCTGTTATGTGTATATCCAGCTTTAGCTACTCATGAGATCCCCTGTGCAATAACACAAAAAGGATTCTGTGTTCAGTAATTCCTTTTAGCCAAGACCAAGAATTCACCAGCAACTCAATCTTAGGGTAAGACAAAACTGAGCAGTAGAACAAACATGTCATAGTGCAATGGACAATGTGCATAAAACATTGCTGCCATTATAGAAGCCAATACTGTTGCTTCTATAAGGGCAGCAGAACCCATTTTAATACACATAGGGCCAAATAACAAGGGATCCGTTTGTTAAAGCTGAAGAAAATGTTAGTTTCCATTATACTAATAGCGCACACAAAGTATTATACCTGAAAAATGTATGCTAACCATAAATACGATCTACGGGAACACCTTGGACTGAAGCAGTCACAAAAAGTGATGAGAAATGTACCTGCCAATCATGCTAAACCTTCACTCTACTATGGAGAAGACTGAGGGATCCAGAACTCTCTTTGAAAAGTACCATCGTCAGCATCTGGTAAGGATTGGGGGAAGGTGCCCCTGAACTCTAACAATCCATTAAAGGATTGGCCAATATCTCCCTATGTATAGACATTAAAGCCTAACTCCAGAAATTCAGCCACTTTCTAGAATCTGCAGGAATACTCAGGGGTTAAGTCCAAGGGGGTGCAGGCCACCTCTTGGAGTTATCCTATTTACAACTGACAGTTTTATGGTAGCTGGAGAGTACACACTCCTGGGGCTCTGAGAGGAGACACCATCTGCTCCACACAGCAGCTCTTCCCTCCCCTCCACTGCCCATTCACAGAAGGCTTTGCTATTCTGTGAATGAGTTCACATAAAACAAATCACTCTAATTGAGAAGTGCAAGCAACCCTGTAGCTGCAGGAGCCGAGACCAAAGGGTCCAGTGTTGGAGCTCCAGAAGTTGTAAATAAAAGACAAGTCCATAAGGGGACATGCACCTTGTTGGACTTAACTCATAGTAAGTCAGCATATATTACAAAGTGACTGAATTCTTAGGATTTAGCTCTAAGCACCAACAAAACATGCAAACATACTATATCGCTGTGAGGTGAAGGTTAATCTGTGCCTGAAGAAATTATAATCATATCACTGCTATTGATATATGATATACTGCTCACACATCCATCACAACATTGTGCACAAAGACAATTAAGGGCTACAAACTAGAACATTTAGCCTGTTTACACGTACAACAAAAGGTCAGAATGAAGCCAGGATCAATAGCAGTGAACGGGTTAACAGAACTTGTCAGAAGAGAAGAATATTAGGAGCGGTCATTGCTGACATTTTAAAGTGAAGGCTATGTGGTTTGTCATCCTTATCATTGCCTCAGTACTTGCAAAGCACTAGACACTGAAAAATGCAAATCATGCTGTCTGAAATCACATTCACAGCTTTTTTTTTCTTCTTTACTACACAAAGTACTGAAGTAAGGATAAAGATGACAACTGTGGACCTTACTCAAAACATTTTAGCAATGGTAGCTCCCATATTTTTTACAGAAAAATTGCTTTAGATACACAAGAATCATCAGATTATAAAAGTGTAATGTTTAAACTTGGCCTATTTCATCAAATATTAAAAAGTCCAATTTTTTTTATACCGATGTACTCTAAACATTTGGGGGCATACTTATTAGCCAGACTCTAGGTACATTGATCAGCCACTTTGTCCCATACATTTGGGTACGTTATACATTTTTCCCTTAGGGGTGGAAGCAGGAAGAAAATAAAAATAGACAGTTTAGGGTTAAAATCTTCATTTGACGCATTTTCAAAGTTTGGAAAATATATAAAATGGGAAACAGCAGATGCAAACATGGCACCTTTACTGCAGGAATGGTGAATCACAAATAAAAATCAGCATAGGATTGGGCCAGGCAGCTGTTCAAGTGAAATTCCTAGCAAGCAGATTTTTATTACTGAAGAGACTCTGTATCTCTCTTCATTAAATAAAATTGTATTTCTGCCTGCTAGCAATTCGTCTAATGGTACACTTAACTATGCATGCACATCTCTGTGTACAACCCAGTTGGCATTGGGATAAAGTAACTTCCCAGGAGCATGTGCATTATGGTAAGAGTGCTATGGGCCTGCCGTGCATTTAGATCCACTATTAAAATTCCAATAAAATACATTTTATGGAGATGCTGATATTCTATTGATAAAAGAAAGCCCAGATATACAGCAAATGGTGGTGAATGCAAGCCAATCACATGAATGTGCAAGCAGTATATATGCTTTGTAAGTACTACAAATGATTAGAGCACCTCCTGCCTGGAGTTTGCATCTTCTCCCTGTGCCTGCGTGGGTTTCCTCCTACACTCCAAAGACATGCATGCTGGTAGGTTAATTGGATTATATCTAAATTGGCCTTTGAAAATGAATGTGAGTTAGGGACCTTAGATTGTATGCTCCTTGAGGGTTAGGGACTGATGTGAATGTACAATATATATTTATATATATACATATATAAATAAAAGTGCTGCGTAAATTGATGGCACTATACAAGTACCTGAAATAGAGAAAACTATAGTAGTACCAGTAAAGTACATAAAAGCCAAAAGCCCCCCCCCCCCCACCATTGTGGAGAGAGTAGGGATGAGTTAATAAAATCCCTGTAAGGTTTTTTTTTTTTTGCATCTGTGTCCCATTGGAGAGCGCTTTCCATTTCACTTCTATCCTGTAGATGCAAAAGGAAATCTCTCAAAAGTGAAGGGAATTACAATGCTTACTTTAAGACAGTTGCCAACAAGGTGTCCCAATTGGAAGAGGACACATCTATCCCCGTTCAGGTGAGGACTTAATTTTTGGTTCTCCACTGCATTCCTAGTGACAATAGTTACCAGGACAAAGAGTGTAAAACACCCCAATTGGGTTATTGACAGCAATAAAATCCTGATTGAGGTCCTAAGCCCTCATCACTCTATCCAAAATATTGACTTAGATGCACTTTAATTAGGAACAGATAAGGGTGTCCGTGAAACAGTTGGGCTGTGAGAGGAGTGGGCCCCTGTGGAAAAACAGAATTTTCAGATCTTACCGTAGTTTTTTTCTGTTGTGGAGATTTCTGCACATACTGTATATGCACCAAAAAGTTAACATTTTTAACATGATGGTATTATTGTGATTATATTATACATTTAAACTGAGGTTTAGGATTAGGTTCACTTATATCTAGGATTACACTTTAGTTTGAGTTAAGGCCTAACTTTATGGATTGTGTTAACTTTTTCCAGCTGGCTGGCATGCATATATGCAGCCTCTCGGTGGGTGGACAGACAAACAATGCAGATACTCTGGTCCTTGCAAACTGATCTCTGTAACTGTCACATTGCCAGATAAAATGCAACCAGATTTCTTGTGCTTTCTGCTGACAAACAAGCAGCACCTATATCCTTGAGAACAAAATACCAAAAGAAATTAGCTTATTTCCCCCCCATGGGATTAAGAGGAGAATAATATGTATGTAGGAATGCAGTATCATGGGTATACTTATAAAGGTGTGCATGTTCACTGGCTCCTTTTTAGCTAATTACCTCTAATCAACTGATCACTGCTCACATTGATTAGACTTTCCAATTTCTCCCAAATCTGAGCTGTTTGATACAATTTTACTGAGTCAGAGGTTCAGCATAGACCCATCATGCTACCAGCAGTATGATCACTGAAAATTGCTTTAACATTAATAGAAAAAAAAACATTCCCAGTGAATGACAGCAGATCCAGAAAAGCAAATGTTCTAGGATTTACCCCTTATATCATCTATATATCTAAAATACTGGTATGTAACAAAAATGCCATGTAAAAAGAAAGCACATAAAGCTTAACTCGAGCTATGTATTGATTAAAATTAAATGTATTTTTAAAAGCAATGTAAATACCTAAATATGACTTGGTATCAGCTTAGTGTGCTCCTCTTTAGAGCAGTGCACAAACAGGGAGGAAAAGTAACATAAGGACCCAAATCAAGTATGGTGTATGCAAACATGCTGACAGGAAGAGTTAGAGGGATAAACTGAGATGTCTGCTACTGATTAATCATCAGTCAGAGTTTGGGGAGGTGATCTATCTGTAGGGTCAGAGCCAACCTTAAGTGTTATTCAGGCTCGCAATTCTATGTAAAAACAGTTAAACTGAGCATCACTTGAAGCAGTCATCTTTACGTAATAACCCTGAGTAATATGTATTTCAATACGGTCTCGTCCCACAAAAACAATTAAAAAACAAAAAGATATATTGCACACACAAACACTCTATATTGCCAAAAGTATTGGGACACCCCTCCAAATCATTGGATTCAGGTGTTCCAATCACCTCCATGGCCACAGGTGTATAAACTAAAGCACCTAGGCGTGCAGACTGCTTCTACAAACATTTGTGAAGGAATGGGTCACTCTCAGGACCTCAGTGAATTCAAGCGTGGTACAGTGATAGGTTGCCACCTGTTCAATAAGTCCATCCATGAAATTTCCTTTCTACTAAATATTCCACGGTCAACTGTTAGTGGTATTATAACAAAGTGGAAGCAACTAGGAACAACAGCAGCTCAGCCACGAAGTGGTAGGCCATGTAAAATGACAGAACGGGGTTAGCGCACAAGTTGCCAACTGTCTGCAGAGTCAATAGCTAAAGACCTCCAAACTTCGTGTGGCCTTAAGATTAGCACAACAAATGTGCATAGAGAGCTTCATGGAATGGGTTTCCATGGCTGAGCAGCTGCATCCAAGCCTGCCATCACCAAGTGCAATGCAAAGCGTTGGATGCAATTGTGTAAAAAACACCGCCACTGGACTCTAGAGCAGTGGAGATGTGTTTTATGGAGTGATGAGTCACACTTCTGTCTGGCAATCTGATGGACATGTCTGGGTTTGGCAGTTGCCAGAACGGTACTTGCCTGACTGCACTGTGCCAAGTGTAAAGTTTGGTGGAGGGGGAATTATGGTGTGGGGTTGTTTTTTTTCTTTATTTAAGGGGTTGGGCTTGGCCCCTTAGTTCCAGTGAAAGGAACTCTTAAGGCATCAGAGGAATGGTCAAACATTCCCATAGACACTCCTAAACCTCGTAGATAGCCTTCCCAGAACAGTTGAAGCTGTTCTAGCTGCAAAGGGTGGGCCAACTCAATATTGAACCCTGGACTAAGACTGGAATGCTATGAAAGTTCATGTGCATGTAAAGGCAGGCGTCCCAATACTTCTGGCAATATAGTGTGCGCATATATATTTAAAAAAAAAAAAAAACAACGGTCTGAGGTTTTAAGTAAACTTTCTTCTCGACTCAAAATGTGCATTTTAACATGCAAAGCATTTTATATTTTGCACCCTTTTATGCAAGTTTTTTCTAAGGGAAAAAGTTCTACTACAGGAGGTAAGGGGATAGACAGGAATACAAGTCCTTAAGCAGCTCCCATTCATATATTTCGGCTGTGTAATTAGTGGTTTGCCTGTGGTTCAAATTTAAGATTTTCCCTCTTTAAATCAGATAACTTTTTCTAAACATAATTTTTGTAACAAGAAATTCTTACATTTCTTTAGGAAACCACTCCAAGAGGCACATGATCATCAGCCTCCCTTAAAGCAGTTCTCCAGTCTCTTCCGCCCCACAATTAAGTCAGCAGCTACCAATACCGTATTGCACTTTGTTGCACTTTGTGAATGGTCCCACAGTCTTCTGAGTCCTGTGATGTGTCCCAGAAGGCTGCGGGGAAGGAGAGAGGGGGGGGCGGGGGGTGTCAAATGTCTGCTTGGATCACCAAGGTGATCTGAAAGGAAGTGGGAGTGGGTACTGGTAAAAACAAGGTACCCACTCCCCTCCCCCCCCCCCCCCCAAAAAAGAGCCAAATGTTAAAGAGGGAGGGCCAAATAAACAGAACTTCCTTTTCGGTGAAGTACCGCTTTAAGCTGACGCCACATGACCAATGCGTCGGCATTTAGTCTCGTGACCAACAGCAAAACAAGTGGTTGTTTCTTCATGAAAGGTAAATATTATCCAATCTAACCATGCATACAGGTGTTCTTTTAGTGTAGTATTTGAACAAACATCTAACATTCTCTCAATTAGTAAAAATACCTGAACAAAAGTGTATGTAAAGCTCTAGGTGCTCACACAACTTCAACAGCCTTGGAAGTCCCTGCTGTTGTGGCCAAATCCCAGGCCCTACTGACCACCAGGGAGTATGATGGGATGCATCACTGACCAACAACAGTATATGCACAGGTGTCTGGCCATTACACCTTTAGCAACCTTTTTTTTTTTTTTCCTTTTTAAAAAGAGCCCCTAAACAATTCTTCCTGAGGACAAACCCTAGCCTTAGGACCGAGTACCTTCATGTAAGCACCTTTGCAGAAAGCACTGGGCAAAGCGACAGATCCTGACTGGCTCAGACTGCAATTCCTCACACATATCAAGCAGGTAAATATACTAATTCTATGTAAAATGCATTAAATTTCGAGGTAAATGCGTACTTGGATTAAAGAGGTAATTTTTTTTTTCAAACTTTAAAGTCTGCTAGAGTTTGAAAATCGTAAACAAAAAGTAATTCTCTATGTCAATTTTGACATCACAAAACCAGATCTGGACAGTCCCAGAAGCCAGGCAGAAAGTGGCTAAAAACACCCAAATTCAGAAATAAATCTGTCCAGCTCTGGGCTATACCATCTAAAGTGTACAATAATTTGCTTGATGCCAGAACAAAACCATTAGCAGACACCTCAGAAACTGTAAGATATGCATGCTGGAGATGGAGTTAATTTTAAGATCATATATATACCACAAATCGAGGACACCAGTTGATCATCAGTGATATTACTGATTATTTTATGACCATTCTTTAAGGCCTGTTTTTCTGAAATGTCTAATCCCTCTTCAAGTAAAGTCTCTTGCAAAGGACTTTTACAGTAAGGATGGTCTAGTAACTTTGTATTAAATACATCCGAACTGCTGTTCTCATCCACTTCCATGGAACAGGGATCATCTCCATTTTCCAGTCCTTCTGTATTGTCCTGAAAGTCAACCGTTTCACTTGTACATGGCTTTATTTTATCAGGAGCCAGGAGCATTGTCTCTTCATCCTGATCTCCCTGTACATCTCCTTCCTCCTGGGAAGATATAGATACCTCTTTTTCCGTTAAGAGCATACACATATCATCAGGATAACTATTAATAACAGGAACGTCACTCAGTTTCTTTTGCAAAGTGTCCTCCGAACCCCAGTGAGCACCCATGCAGAGAGCTGGGTGCTGGTTGTCTTTTAATATCGATCTGTTTGCTGCCACATTTGAAAATTGAGTCTCACTGTCCACTCTCTGTAGCTTAAGAGTCTCATCTCGTAGGCAAGTGTTGGTTGTGCGTGGTTGTATTTCGCATAAGATTCCTGATGTGTTATTGTTCATATCGTATGCCCTACTTGCTGCCTTGACAGGTCGTTGAATCTTCAGCTTCAAATATGATAACACTTTCTCAAAGTTACTGTTTAGACTTATACGGCACTTCCAAAATCGTTTGTAAAACCACAGCCACAAATCTAATATTTTAAGGCTTTTTCTTGCACCTAGCTTATGCGAGTGTAATCTGTTACGGCCTGTAAACGGAGATGATTTTCTAGGCATCATAAGCAAATTACAGCATTTCCGTAACCATAAAATTCCAAATGATTTTTTCCTTAACACTTGTCTTTTTTGGTGATCCTTAGTCACAAGGGAGCAGGGACATTCCAACTTCAGCTGAAGCCCTTTATTGTCCTTTGTTGTAGAGAAAACAGCGTTTTCAGGGACAGGTGTATTAATTAAACCATAGTTTACTTGATTTTTGGTTTCCACTAATGGGCCAGTCTGAGCTTCAGTGTTTTTTGATGAACAGTTAAGGTATTTCCTACTGCATGCAAGTTTTGAGTTGTTGGAGATCTTTCTCAAGCCTTTTGCAGAAAAAATGTGCTCTGCAACCTCTTTTACATCAGGCTCTACTTTTCCACGGTTACTGATATTTTTCACACACCTTGATGTAGAGGTTTGATGTGCAATCTTTTTCTTTACTTGTTTAACAAGCCTGCTTCCAGTATTCTGACATTTGCTGAATTTTTTCAAGTTCCTAACAGTTCCAACAGTTAACTTTTTGGATAAAAAAGCATTATTTCTTTTAAAAATAAAATCACTAAAGCTTTTCCATAATGACCATGATGTGGACCAGTCTGAAAAATGACCCCTTCTGCAAAGACTCTTTTTATTTGCTGTCATTTTCCATTTTGAACCTGAGGATATCCTAAACATACAAAAAAGAAAAAAAAAAACTCATTAGATAAAAATCACCACCATGATCATTCCAGCATTCAGATACATCAATGGATACATACCTGCACTGATGTTTTACCTTTAAAGTGTATGTAAACTAACAATAAATTTCTTATTTTTTCCCTTTTTGGTCTGTTAATTCATCAAAAGCATATTATATCTGTTCAAGGAGTGCCAGATCAAACAGCTGTTCATAGAGTGCAAAAGCTGTTCATCCAGCCAAAACCCTTGTGAGCTTCCTGTACTCTATGCCCCTGGACTGTTATCAGTTAGCATTGTTCCCCACCATCTCTGAGGACTACTAAACACCTTCCCCTGTTATGGAGAAGAGAGGTTGGTGTTATGAAGTCCTAACATACTCCTTGTCCTAGGGTGACAATGCTGCTCAGTACAGCAGTCACCCTAGGACAGAAAGTGCGTTAACGGAAAGATTACAAGATTAAAATTAAAGGGAAAAAAAAAACGTGAAAAAAGAAAACCAATACAGCCATCACATGTAAGGACCAGAAGCTGCAAAACTATCAATTTTTTTGTTTATGGGTTTAGATAAGCTTTAATATTGTAAAAAAAAAAATGTATAAATTCCTTAAGCTAGCCCAGTATGTAACCTGCTGCTGTTCACTAATCTATAATAAACCCTTACAAAAAAAAAAGAAAAAAAGTGTCCATTGCTGTTAAAAGTCCACTTTCAATACTTGACAGATTACAGTTTTGCCCAGGGCACAATATAGGCTCCTGAGGCATTACCTTATAGTAGGAACCATTATAGAGGGCAATACCTTGTGAAGGCAAAACAGCCTACCATGTACACACCCTAATGCCTGCCACAAATGGTTAGATTACTTTGGTAGGCCCTTACTCTACCCAGGTGTTTGTAAGCTTTTTGATCTGATCACTTTTTTTGTGGGCAGTATTATAGTTTTTCAAATCTGATCCCCATTACTCCAAGAGGTCATTTTGTATCCAGGAAATGTCCCCCTCTTCAGGTTTCCTACTGCTTTAGTCACACAACTTTCAGATTTGATATGCAACATTAAAAACATTTTAACAACTGTGTAATGCTAGTCTGACTAGATACGATTTGAATTGACAGTTCACATAAGCACCCACACAACCCAATAGTTAGATTCTGACCTGTCATGCCAGTAAAATGTACTGGCAGTGGATATCCCAAGAAATGGCATCAACAAGACATTCTCATTGTCCTTCAGGAAAAAAGCAAGGTCTTTAATTTTACCCAGTGACAGGCTGCATTTTGAGAATAGGTGAAGGCACATATACATTTCACCTGTTTGACACTAAACTGAAAATATCTCAGCATATTCTGCTTTATCATACAAAAGCTAGAAATGTAAAACCTACTTTTCTACTGCACAACTAACGTCTGCCAGAGGTGATGGCAGCCACCTGATGCTCCTCACTTGTGAACAGGGTTGCCTTTGATTGTATATTTGACATTTAGTTTGCAACAATACTGTATTAATAAAAGTGTAGTAATATGCTGTAATGCTTATCCATCAAGTGTGACAATAGCACTCCTGCATCATGTAGAGTGCTGCACAAGATACAGAGAACTATTCAGCAATCTGAAGGCCACCAAGTTATAACTTTTATAATGGAGGTTATTGGCTGCCATAAAGTGTTATGCGTTTTGGGTAGAGCAGAAAAAAGCTGAAAACACTGTAGTGTTTTTTTTCTCCAGCTATCCTATTAGGGAGATCTCTATTCACATTCTGTCAGGAGTTGAGAAGAAACTGATGTAAAGTTAGGGAAATCTTTTCTGAAAAGTCTTAGGAAAAATTGCCCCCATTAAAAGGCTCCCACACCCACTACACCTAAAATACCACATTACATGCCCCCTAATGTTGATGACATATTTCTGACAATTTAGAGAGAGTCTTGTGACTCATGTTTTTCAAGTGACTGCACATTTTCTCTCCTTTATCCCCCTCCCTACTTTCTTTAATTTCTAATGTTTAGTTCTGTTTTTGTTTAAATAGTATTTTCCTTTTAAATGTAAAAAAAAAAGAAATTGTAATACATTGCAGATTACCTATGCTTAAATACTGTGTCTACATTTTTCCTCCCTTTTTGGGGGGCTTTTTTTTTCTATTTTATTTTCACTTGGTGATCCAGAGCCAGTAACACTTCTTTTCTTAGGCTAGGTTCACACCTATGCAGGTTGCATTTAAGCCATTTCTGCATTGCGTTTTTGATGCGTGTTGCTTTTTTTTCCTTGCTAGGCAGATTTAAAAACACAAATGCATTGAAAAACACACTACATCATTTTTTGCAGCGTTTCCATTGAAGTCTATAGAACCAAAAATGCAACTTTTTGCGTTCAAAAAGTCCCTGGCCCGTTCCAAAAAACGCACTAGGTGAAAACATGGAGATGTGAACATGTCCCATAGGAAATCATGTTAAATGGACAGTACTGAGTTTCTGAAAAACGCAAAACGATGCAGAAAACGCTTATATGTGAACCTAAGGTAAAGGGTGTCTCCACTCTGGATGGAGGAACAACAGAGACCCTTTTGGACAACAGCATTGTCAATCGGGGGAGAGGGTACTGTTAGAGTAACAGATTCAGATGGTCTTGACTAACAAATTGAAGCTGAACTTCTGTTAACACTTTATAAGTAGTTAAAAGCAGTTTTTTTTCCTTTTGGGATAAAGATTTTACATACATGAATAAATGCTGACCAATGTCAGCGTTAAATGGTTGGTCTCAACCCTCTGACATTTCTGCTGGACAGCTTTGTCTGTTAAAGAACTTGAAGTATAACTGTTTTACTGGCTTGATCACCAGGTGATAAGGCAAATTAACCAACCCACCACAGTGAAGGTTTGGCAAGCTGCAATATTTAATACCACTTTAATGCAAGTATGCACAATTATCTAAGCGTTTATGGTATTAAGTGAATGAATTTACTCATTTGTTTGTAACACTGATATTTAATACTTTCATTTGAGCCTTCTATTCATAGTTACGTGGTATCATTGTTCATTGATAGTGCTGTAACTGTGTGGTATTGTGCCTTGTATTTCTCATGCTCAAAATGAACATTTTTGAAAAAACCTCCCCCCTCCACTGCTGTTCCTGTGCTCAGAATGTTGGATTTTCCTTGAATTCCTTCCCAGTCACAATGGTCAGCAGGACATACAGGGTGGATTTTCCTGTAAACAAATAGCAGAAAAATCAAAGCTTTACAAAACACTTTAGAGAAATAGCTGCTTCCTTTTCCTCTTTGAAAAGTGGGCGCTGTGAAAATTTGACTGATCCTAAAATCACTGGATCAGTTGTGTCACTTTCCATACATTGAGAATAATTTATCAAAACAAAAACAACTGTAAAATCTAGAGTAAAGGCCCTTTCACACAGGTGTTAAGTCTAGATCAGTTTCAGTTTTTCAGAGGGGATCCAGACTGAACCACAATGTATGTTTATGGGTGGGTGGATTTAAAAGGATGATCATCTGTTTATATCTGCCTACAATCAGTATGACAGGTCCTTTGTTTTTTTTCTTTTTTAAATAGAACAAGGCTATGTCCTTTTCCATTTAGATGGATTTGAATGGATGTAAATAGATACCACCTGTTTATAGAAAAAACATTTTTTGTTTATACTTTTGTCACCAATGATTGGTTTCTGAAAACGAAAACAAAAAAAACAAAACACATTTGCAGATGGATTTAAACTAAATTGAGGACAGATGTACAAAACTGATGTGAATCCATTTCTTCTTAATAAAAAGATTGCTGAATGGATGACAGCCATGTGAAAGGACCTTAACCGCTTTCTCGCCGCCCTATAGCAGATATACTGCTACAAGACAGTAAAGGTGCGCAAAATCACGATTTTGCACTACCGGGTAGGGGGCGAGCGCTACCCATGCCGCCAATCACCGGGTCCCGGCCGGTGATTACAGAGCATCTCCAAAGGGGAGGAGGACTGTTTTGTTTACCAACAGTCCTCCTCCCTTTCAGCTTGGGAACACTGCTTTGGAAGGCTGTGCACAAAGCAGTGTGCTTGCAGTGAAACCCCTAGTAAAAAACACTCCCTGCAAACCGTTAACACTTTGATCGCTCCTCATGTTAACCCCCTGCCTGCCCAGTGCCATTAGTACAGTGTCAGTGCTTATTTTTTTTAGCACTGATCACTGCATTGGTGTCACTGAGGATGTCAGTGACACCAAGTCAGTTCCCCCAGTGTCAGAATGTCCGCCGCAGTCCCACTATAAGTTGCTGATCGCCGCCATTACTAGTGAAAAAAAAAAAATTCCAGTATCTATACTGCCATTTGCAAATGCTATAACTTTCACGTAAACCAATTAATTTACAAGTGTTGGGATTTTGTGTAGTAAAGACATGTAGCAGAATACATTTTGGCATAATTTGACGAAATTTGATTTGTAAAAATTTTTTACTGGCCAGGTTTAATAGCAAAAAGTCAAAAACATTGTTTATTCTCAAAATTGTCTTTTTTATAACAGAAAAAATTAAAAACGCACAAGCGATCAAATACCACTGAAAGAAAACTCAATTCGCAGGAAAAAAAAAAAAAAAAAAAAAAAAGACGCAAATATCATTTGGGTGCAGCATTGCATGACTACGCAATCATCAGTTAAAGTAAAGCACAGAAAATGGCCTGGTCAGGAGGGGGGGGGGGGGGGGGGGGGGGGGGGGGGGGGGGGGGGGGGGGGGGGGGGGGGGGGGGGGGGGGGGGGGGGGGGGGGGGGGGGGGGGTGGGGGAGGGGGGGAGGGGGGGGGGGGGGGTGGCGAGTGGGAGGGGTGGGGTGGGTGCGGGGGGGAGGGGGAGGGGGAGGGGTGGGGGGGGGGGGAGGGGAGGGGGGGGGGGGGGGGGGAGGGGGGGAGGGGGGGGGGGGGGGGGGGGGGGGATCTCAGGAGGGCAAGTGGTTAAAGGAGAAGGTCAGTCAAAATCGAAG